TATGTATATATATATATATATATACACAAATCAATGATAAACTTACTGAACCAAACAATGATGGGCATCTCACCAATGAGCCAATATCTCATGTGAGACACATTTTCTTGGTTTACGTTATGTTCCCACTGTGTGTTACAGATCCCTGGCAGCAGGGACTCAGTTATGGTTTTTCACTCAGAGTAGATGGGTTCAGTATGTAATGCTATTATTGTTTCTCCTTGTCTGACTATGACACTGACAGTCTATAAGCAGACTGCATAATCTGATTCTGTGTAATTCAATACCAGAATTTACTATAAACAATTATTCAATTCACCTGTATGAACTGCCATAAATCTCTTTCAGATTATCCTTCTTTCACAAGAAAATTTGGTAAAGGAATATGAAAAGCCTTATATCTTACTTAGTACAATATGATATTTATTAGGATGCTGCATGAGTCATCCACATCAGCTAATACTTATGTTCTCTTAGCAAGCATATTAAGATTTTTCTTCCAATTAGACAGATTCCGTTAACTCATCAATATCAATTTCATAGAACTTGGAAAGATGTTAACCTGGAAATGTCCACACATGCTTTTATAGGTTTTTAAAAATAAAAACAGTTCCCCAGATATGCGATGATAAAAACCTAGAAGCATGCATGGTGGTAAACTTTTTTTTCTTTCTTTTTCTTGTAAATGTTCTTTTAATGAAACCTGTACATTTTAAGCCATTCTACTTTCAGAATTCATTCAATTCATTGGACACTTCTCTATTATGGTCTTAAGTTTATACAGAGTAAAGACAAGGGAAGGGGACTGATGATTCAAATATCATTTTGACATAATAAGAGTAAATATTTATTTTATTGCACTCTACTCTCAGAAATAATTCTTACTGTGATAACATCACAATAAGAATTAACTTATCCAAAATTAATCAAATGTCACCAGGTATGGCATGTATCATTTCATGGCCACAGTGAGTTGTTTATTAACCCACTTACGACTAGTGTCCCATATATGAGACACCCGGAAAAGTAAACATTGCTGGGCATCCTGCCGGTGTGACATCAGATCGGAGCTCGCCCTCTGATTTTGTCACCTGTGGCATGCGGGTTACGGGTAGGTTGCTGGACTCGCCCGTGCACCGATTTTGAAGCTGCCCGGAAATATCATTTTCGGCTTATAAATGTACCATCGCTAGTGGGTTAATTGTAATTACACATAGATGGCTGTACAGGTGCTTAGTTACCAATGAATCAATCACTAGTCTGACCTATCTTACCTGTTTACCTTTTTCCTTCATTTTTGGAAATGATTAATATCATTTTATACTGCTGTTAATATTGTTAAGAACATTAATTATGTTAATGCTGGTAATAATAATAACAGCATCAATATGTATAACATTAGAAAAAAAAAAAAAAAATCCAAAAACTCAAGGCAAAGAAAACCAAGTGTGGGCACCTAGACTACTGACTCCTTGGTGGCTGTGCACTTTTGGAGCCATCTATGTATAGATGCACCATCAAACAATGCTACAGTGAACATAACATCTTCCTAATGGGAATGGGATAACATTCTTAGAGAAATTAACAATATCACTATTACAGTCAATTATGATGAAGTGTTAATTTCATGAATACATTGACATCAAACAATTATGTTAAACAAACAAAAAGACTTGAATCATAACAGTAAAATGATGTTGGTAAGTAATTATGATGATGGTAGTGACACAAATGTAGAAAAATACATTCATAATTTCAATAAATTGCTAATACTATATTTCTGCAAAAATCACTATGATAAAGAGTACCAATCGAATAAAGGAAATTGGTATATATATATATATTCTATTTAAATAATAACAGTATCAATGATTGCTGCTGATGGTTTTGATGAAAATAAAGATGGAAATTATAAATATTTCATCCATAACAACTATACAAGAAAATCTACTGATGCAATATTTACACTGAGTATACTATCCAAAATGAGAAAAATAACAACAATAATTATAATAACAGTAAATGAAAATAAAATCTAACAAGAAAAATTATCACACAAATTAAAATCATAAAAAAAAAACATCACCCAGTTCTCCAAAAAGAGTTCAAGTGATTTCTATTTTACCATCACAGCCTTCTCTAATGACGGTTCTTCATGTGAGTTCTAAGGTTACCCTTCTGCGTTGAACGGTATGGGCAAAGTGTACATGCAAATGGCTTTTCACCAGTGTGTGTCCGCATATGGTTAACAAGATTTGTTCTTGCAATCGTGGCGTAGGAACAGTATGGACAGCGATGCTTCTCAGATGCTCCAGTGGCATAGCTACTTGTTCCAGTTGTCCCAACTGAACTCCACGGATAGCTGAACTGCTCTCTCTGTAGAAGGATGTCCATCTCTCTTAGAAAACTGACTTGGAATTGCAAGTTTAAGTTGATGTAAACCTTAGACATAATATGGACACTTGTTTCCTTCTCATATCTTGACACAGAAGTGTGTTAAAAGTTCAATACATGGACACAAATTTTAAAAATCAAAAGTAGTTATGATGGTAATAGGTCAATATTAAGCAAAACCTTTCTGCGTAACCATAATCAAATACTCCCACACTCCCTGTAAAATAAGCTGAAAGAAGAGGTCATACTTAGAAAAGGATAGGAAGGGTAAGAAGGGGAGGGGGGAGAGAGAGAGGGGGGAGAGAGAGAGGGGAGAGAGAGAGAGAGAGAGAGGAGGGGGAGAGAAGGTAAGAAGAGGGGGAGGAGAGAGAGAGGGGGGGATAGGGGGAGGGAGAGAGAGAGGGGGGAGATAGGTGGAGGGAGAGAGAGGGAGGTAAGGGGAGGGAGAGAGAGGGGAGGTAGGGGGAGAGAGGGAGGGAGGAAGGGGAGAGAGAGAGAGAGAAAGAAAGGGAGAGAGGGAGGGAGGGAGGGAGGAGAGGGAGGGAGAGGGAGAGAGAGAGTGTGTGTGTGTGAAGAGAGAGAGGGTGAAAAAAGAGAGAGAGAGAGAGAGAGAGAGAGAGAGAGAGAGAGAGAGAGAGAGAGAGAGAGAGAGAGAGAGAGAGAGAGAGAGAGAGAGAGAGAGAGAGAGAGAGAGAGTGAAGAGAGAGAGAGAGAGAGAAGAGAGAGAGAGAGAGAGAGAGAGAGAGAGAGAGAGAGAGAGAGAGAGAGGGTGAGAGAGAGAGAGGAGAGAGAGAGAGAGAGAGAG